TAAGAAGTAACTATTCAAATATTAAGATTCTACACCTTTCAGTTCTTCAGAAGTTGTCGTTTGAAATATTTGACATATTATGACCCCTGTGACCTCGAAAGTAGGTCATTTTCGCTCACAAACTTTGACGGGCTCCAACCGATGAATATTTGACCCCTGTGATCTTAAATATTGGCCAAGGTAGTTCTCATTCGCAAAATTTGTCAGGCTCCATCCCAGGAAGCTACCAGCCAAACATTATTAATCTATGCCTTACGATTATCCAGAAGAAGTCGTTTGAAGTGTTTGGTATATTAGACCCCTGTTTCCTCGAAAATAGGTTAAGGTGATTTTCATTCTCAAACTTTGTCGGCCTCCATCCCAAGAATATACCAGCAAAATATTAAGATTCTACTCCTTTAAGTTCCTGAGAAGAAGTCGTTAGATGTGTTTGACATATTTGATCCCTGTTACCTTGAAAGTAGGTCGACGACATTTTCATTCATTAAACTTTGTCGGGCTCTTTCCAAAGAAGCTACCATCCAAATATTATGGTTCTGTAGATTTCAGTTCTTTCTCAGAAGTTTGAAGTGTTTGACACATTTGACTCCTGTGACCTTGAAAGATGGTCAAGTTCATTTTCATTTTCAAACTTTGTCGGGCTCTATCCAAAGAAGCTACCAGTCACATACTGTGATCCTATGTCTGTATGTTCTTAAGACAAAACTCTTTTGAAGTGTTTAACATATTTGACCCCTATTATAATTCTATGCCTTTTGGTTCTTCAGAATAAGTCGTTTGACGTGTTGTTGACCTCTGTGACCATTAAAGCAGGTTGAGGTCATTTTCATTTCCAAAATCTGTCGAGCTCACTCTTAAGAAGCAACCAGCCAAATATTATGATTATATTCCATTTAACTATTCAGAAAAAGTCGTTTGGTGTTTTTGGCTTATATTTGGCCCCTGTGACCTTTCATTTGCATACTTTGAAGTGCTAAATCCTAAGAAATTACCAGCCATATGATAAGATTTTATACTTTTCTAAATAGATATGTTGTCAATTGTGTAGCTTTATAAATACCATAACGTATTTTGCAAAGGTGGAACAAAAAATCCACCTATTATGCTGTTGTTTTATCTGAACTTGAAACTGAAAATTTTGGCAATGAATAAAAGTACCGTTCTGATTAGACCATATTAAGAGTGATATCTGCACTTGTAAAGATATAACAGATCCCATATCGTCATTGCAGTGCAGTTATAAGATTTCATCATACGGATAATTCATGATATTTTACAATTTAAAATGTTATGAATACGGATATTGTCGGGTTTACTATTATATTTTTGTAAATAGTATGTGGCCCCATTAGGAATTACCCCGAAGGCTTTCATGAATGGGGAAGCACCAACAGTGGACATAGTGTTTACAGATCAAACCCTTGTGGCGCTTAGCACCGCTTATGGATTTGGCAAAAATAATTCCCTAAGAAAAATATTGTGCAATGACGTTTGACATTTTGGACGTGATATTTGTGGCTTCACTTGTGATAACTATCAACAGTTTGGTAGGCTTGGTTACCACAACTATACACACACTTCCTTGCAACGGAGAAACGAACAAAGAAACAGGATGCTATATTTCGTAATTCATATGTATTTGTGTACCTGACAACATCGACAGTTTAAAAATGATATGAAAAATATCCTTATGAGGTTTTCTGAACAGGCCAAATCATGCAAACTTAATGTGGTTAGAACGAGGCTATTACCACAACTGGTGGTGCGTAAATTATTTTTGAATCTCTTTACTGAAGAGTTCTTTCAGACTTGCTCTGATATATTGGATACATGACAGACTTTACCTCTTCATCATTATGAATAATACACCAACATATGATATCCCACACCCAATATCTGCCGTACCTTAGCTTAAATAACATGTAGTCAGTAGTGGAGGAAAACAGTCTTGATAATATTTCACCCTGATTTGATTATGTACATGCACATAAAGATTTCAAAAAGGGTATTTTTTATTTACACTCAAAATTACCAAAATCCGTAATTATAATACAATTAGTTTAACATGAATTCTATACTTATGAAGTCTTTTCTATACATATTTAAATCCTCGAGGAAGTATGCGTTATAATGATAATAATTGATTTAATAACTCCTTTTTATTTATTTTAATTAGATTATCAAATTATTTTTTGTCTGATATGGAATCAGATATATGAACTCTTATGGGGAAAAGAATTTTGAAGAAAAAAAGGCATGCACATCATTTTAAAAACTCAGAACTAAGATTCAACATACATGTACTCTACATGGGTACTAATGTAATATTTCCTATAATTTTTTGGGGGATTTATAAAAAAAAGGTTTCTTTGCATTAATAATGTCAATATTGGTAGAACTCTACGAAATTAAAAGTTTTTAATTCCATAAAGTTCATGCCATTAGTTTTGTTCCATCTCCTTGTCCTTGTGAAATCCTGACTAAGCAGGTAGACAGGAAATTTGTCTGTTATGTTCGTATCAATCGAAAAGGTAGTTATCGTTTGATTTTGTTCAAATGAGTGTGTGTTTTATTGAAAATATCTCCCTCCCCCGTATCTACCATATCCCTGTCGCGTATTCTTATCGAAACTATTGCCACCTGTCAGTACTTCATTTAATTTGCAAAGGGGACAAGGTATTTGATGCAAATCATCCACATTATATATCTGCTTTTCTCTGTATTTTACGTGCTGATTTCATCTTGTGTGCTTCTGTTTTCAATTGACAATATTATAATTATGTTATTATGTGGTAAGTATTTTTTAAGTCCAGGCGTATTAAATATTTGAAAATGTTTCAATTTTTACTTTTTTCCCCCAGATGTTTACACTGCCATGTCATATCATTATGATAAGCATTCGTGACAGTATGTATTGATGTAACTTGTTGTCTATCATACTACATAGTTTTATGTATCATCAATGAAAACTACATTCCAGGAGTAGTCTGACGTCATCTTATGTTTTTTTATGTACAATAGTCTCGTGTTATGCGAGGCGAGTGGAGAAACGTCAAAATATCACTGAACCAACTGCATTCATATATTCATATCCATATGAATGCAATTTCTTCGGTTGATCTTCAACATTTTAACTCGCAGTGTAAACATAATTACACTCTAATGAAACATTATCTCTTTAACATCATCAGATGTTTACACTAAAGTAATTCCCTTATTTTATACAATCTATTAGTTAAATGTCTTCATAAAGTCAAATACGCATCTACGTTTTAATCCAAAACCTGATGTATATTAATTTAAACCCAGGATATCTAAGATAGGTGTAGCCAGTCCTCCATATACTCCATCTCGTATCAATTAAACAACAACCATGATATATGCAGGAAGCTACTCGGCCGATAGTATTACACAGCCTTCTTCACAGACGTTAGAGTGTGTATCCATTTCAATAGAACTTATCTTTGAGGACAAGTAATTCAAGAGTTTAGAATGAAGTGTTGATGCCAAACTTACGGCTCGTCTAATCAATCTTCTGTTTTATGAATATTGTGTTACATGTTATACTTTCCATGACAAAGTAATTACTTTCTTTATCGTTAAATGATATCACATTTTAAGTGAAGACACTAACATACAACATGGCAAATATTACATTTATACAATTGACACACTACTGTAGGAAATACGTTGTTTTTTTAATCTGGTTTTGCATATAACGTGTACAAGGTTCTGAAGAAAATCTTTATTAAACTCAGACGAATGGCTTTGGTATTTGTCCACTTAACAAAACTGCAGAGGATCTTCTCAATCGTTCAAACTTAAGGACACATGCTATCTTGCATGTTATAACTGTGATTTAAATTAGAGTAATGCATATGCTTAAGAGTAAACTCCCTTATCCAAGTTTTACAAACTGCTACATTTGACATCAATGAGCTTTCGAAGTCGAAATTATTACAAGTGATCTCTTTTCTTTAAATTTAAATCAATGATATATCCGTTCTGCTGTACCTTTTAGATAAATGTATTCACTTATTTATCAATTTCAAATTATCATTCAAAAACGATATGCATGAAGATATTGGAGGTTGGGAAGAGGGAAAGGTGAAATGTTGTTTATATCCAGAAGAATCAGTTCCCGATTCGTAGTCATTAGAAACATACTCTTGTAACAGTTGATATATTTTCGGCGTGGCCCATTCTCCATAACATAAATATTGGGATTTCAGAGATGTTAAGAACATAGAATTGAAAGGATCTCCACTCCTGAATAAGAAGTCATGAATTTAATAAAAAAAACTTCTGAAATGTATCAACTCAATTCAATTGAATTAAAATGATTTGAAATACGGTACCTGCTGACATAGTGTTATAAGGTTATATGGTGAGAGCAGGCCAAACTAAATCTACTCACTAGCTGTGTGTCACAATAGGTTTACATATAGCGGAGATACTCTCCATTACAAGTTTAAACACACAGACATCTCAATAGACATGTTCCCTGCAGAGGTGTTATATAGAGACGTAGAAAGGACATCCATGCTACATTAGATACCCCCTCCCATGGACATTTATGTACCCGAGGCAGGTAGGATAGATAGACACATTACCTGTCGGACATGGGGAGTAAGCCGTCGAAAACTAGGCTTCATGGTGAGATATTAACGCTGTAGAATTTGCTTACTTGTGACTCAGATTCGGAGAGTTATTGAGTATGTTTGTCTAGGGTACAGCAAAGAATTTATAGCATTTCTATAAAATAAGTTATATGCAAAACCAGCGACGCTCTGTTTATGTATTTACTCTATCTATGTTTTTTTTTCTCGTAATAACGCATAAAAAATATTAATAGTCCTCTTATTGAAATTGCTACTTGACGAAATACATAGAGGACTCTTAATTTGCAATATTTCATTTGAGTTCTCCTCTAAATTTACTGAGTATTTTGAGGTTGTTTTATAGAATGATCGTCACCTTTTCTTTAAACAATTATAAAGTTGCAGCAACAGGACCGCCAGAACCAGCCCGAGCCTTAGTCATTCCCCGGGGTCAAGTGTCCAGACCGCGGTCGATATCCCCACCACCTATAGGTATGTATGATGTAGCTTTGTTAAATGTTGTCGCAGTCAACGTATGTGCTTATTGATACATACGTAATGGTGGCTATTTATAGTTATATAAGTAGCACTTGTATATTTGGCCCAAATGACTACTAAAAAAATCGTGAACAAGAAAAAGTGAGTATATACCTTCGTAATTACAGAATTTATCTCCAAGTAATATTCCTAATCAATGTCCACTTCACCAAAACGAAGCATGTCATTTAATTCTTCCTGATTTACTAAAGATAATTACTTTTTGCTGGTTTTACTTAATGCAAATGAATAGAAAGTGTAGTGATTTCTAAAAAGACGATTTTAGTAACGAAATACTGCACTGCCCTTTATAGTAGTAGCCGTAGCATTAAACTGTTTGTTACAATCAAGAGTCTTCGACAATATATCAAGATAACGAGTCATGCTTAAAATATGTTATTGAATCTCCCATCGAAATTTGTTCTATGATAACTTGTGTGTTTTTTTCGAAAAACAAAATCACCCGAAAATGTCTATTTATATTAAAACATAATACTGATTGTTCTCTTCAAAATGAAAGAAAATGATATTCTAAGTATTAAAAAGAAATCTCAAACTTAAGAGCTCTCAGGTTATTTTGTATACTGCTGTCATTGTTTGCATGATTCATCCTGTTTACAAACTTGCCACTGCTCGTTCTTGGGTTGATAGATCGCGGGGAAAGTCGTATATTTACAATAAGGAAGCATTCTGAACACGTTTACCGATTTGAATGTAGGACATGTATGTTTTATGGTAACTTCAATAAGATAGAAATTATCAGTGCACAGTCACATGATTGTTCTTAATGATGCATTTATATTTCAGAGAGTTGTATACTGTATCATTTTAATCTAAGATATCTAATTTTAGAAACTCATATATTGCAATAACAAATTACACACAGAGTTGATAAGAAATATTTCATTTCATTTACATAAGAGAATTGATATTTTGGCAATGGTTGGGGTTTTATTAGATGCTAAACAGCTTGCCTAACTCTTGCTCGAAATTCAGTTTTCGGGGCTCCAAATGGGGTAAATGTGAATTTAAAAAAACGAGATTAACATAAAACTAAGCTTATGACTTTAAATAAACAAATGCAACAATAAAAATTCTGTCTCAGAGTTATATATGCAATATAGGTTCATAAGGATATTGTTTTAAAGGTGGACAAAGTTATTTATTTCCTGTATGAGTTTGTTTTCACTTATTATACGTTTACATTTTCTTCACAAAATTTTGTCTTTGTATAACGATACGTCCATGGAATGGATTTTATTCGTCCATTTTGGAGGCTGAGAGAGAGACGAATGACTTAGGCAAGCGATTTAAGAAAATTGTTTTTGTTTGAATCGTAAATACGTATATCTTACTCAGCATAAATAACAGGTTTTGTTATTTGTCTCGCCCAGTGACAAGGTTTTATAAAAAAATAATCACAAATATTCATATGCTATTATATAACATTTATCTGAATGAACAAACAATGGTAGGGCTGTCCAAATCGTCAGACCATCTGTGAAAAATAACTTTTACCACCAGTTCTCAAGAAGATAAAACATGCTGAAAATATAACTTGGTATGCATACTCCCCTGTTATCTATATTTATGTTTACTCCACTTTGATATGGACAGAGAAATGTAGCATAGCACCATCGCATGGCATATTATTTGAAATGAAGTGAAGAGAAAAGAAGCTACAAACCAGAAGAGATACAAGGGTTGGCGCCATTAAACATTTACATGAACTAATTTTCCCTGAAATATAGTTATAATAAGGCATTGTTTTGCTTATTCAAAAAGAAAATCCGGATGATATGGGGTTCCAAAAACGGCACCTACCTTTTAATTTAGTTATCTGTTAATTGTTTTGAGTGATTCAATTTCTTAAAGGGTCAATGTTCTATATCAATAACATGTTAAGGTTTGTAGATATCTATTTTTCTAACAATTTGGTTTCTCTATGATATTGAGATCTACATATAATTTAAAAGCAGAAAAAATAACTATCACAGTTAATGAGAAATTGTATAAAAATAGCGGTGTTTATGACAATAAATTATAATTTACCACAAATTAAATTGTTTAGAAGGGCATCACCATATAGTAAACAAAAAGTGAGATGGAAAATTAGATGAAAAACAGTGTTTTTATGGTAGCAACGTATAATTAATCACAAACTCAACTGTTTGAAATACGACATACTATAGTGAACAGACTATTTTATTAAAATATTAAAGAGATGCTGTTAAACTCAATGTGTTAACGGTATCAAAGATTTTATTTTTGTTAATTACTAACTTTTAAACCTTAATTTTGGGAAACACAGTTTTGTAAAAATATTTGATATCATTTCTTTTTCTTTACATAATGCAGCAACGAAACGAGCGGTAAAACCCTTTACCAAACATCGCTTCCCTGGGCCTAGTAAGTACTGTTAGAGATTCCACACTTAAACCAGAAATTACAGCAAATTCAGTATTTAGTCCGTCTCCCGTTAGAGATAATGAGAGGCGAATACATTTGTTGCAAAGTGTATTTCATAAATATGTAAATGAGCTGTGTGTCCGTTTCATCCTCTGTCTAAAGAAATGCGTGTTTATCTTGTGAGAATGGTAATTTTGGCGGTAATATTAATTGACGAATTCAACGTGACTAAGTAAACAAGAAGACTGTCATTCTCTAACTAGTTACCTGGACGTAAAATAAACTTTAACTTTCCCAAATGATATTAGCACAGCATGAAATTACGCTTGATGTTATTTGTATTATCTTGTTTAAACAAATATTATTTGTGTTATTCTGTCTTAACAATTTGAATGCTTTGTTGTTTTGACTTTTACTGGTTCCAAATTGAGATAGTTTCAATTAGAAATATAATACATGTATGTGCATAAAATATTTCTAAATAACTTGCGTAAAGACACATATTATAATGGCGTTGTTTTCTTTCCTGTTTTTTTCAGAAGCGCTCAGAAGGTTCCGGCACATAGCTTACGCTGCTTGGTTTATATCTATTCTTAGAGCTGCAGCTAAGAAGGTAGATACTAACACACTAACACAGGGGAGGAAACTCTAGCAGAAGGCATACCTCTAATTTAAAAAAATCGTTATATATTTCATATAGTTCAGAAAATCATGATAAACGTTATTTAAGACTGCAATTGATAATGTAATTTTTGCCAGATTCCAAAATAGATATTTATAATTATGGTACACAACTTAATAGATGAGGATCCAGTGGTTTGATCATTTCCTTTGCAGACATAGATGTATAATGAAAATGTAAAAAAAAGTCATTGTTTAAAGCCTGGTTAGGTTTTTTGCCACAGTTGAAGATCTTTTATTTGTAATATAAGTATATAAAGATACCGGGAAACAATAGGTATGTATGCCACGTTCACTCTTCCTGGACAAAGCAAACTCACAAGTTTTTACTAACAATTAACTATTCTCAGAACACACTTTCCAAGTATTCATGCATTGTCACGCTTTATATTAATTTTTTTCTCACTCTTAATTCACTGATCATAAAAGTTACTAAATTAACCAGTTTCAAACCAATCCTTAGCATAGTTTTTTTTCTTTAGCTCTAATACTTCGAATACTTAGTTGAGGCAAAGGGTATTGTCAAGTTATTTCCATTATCAATATTAAGAATATTGTTTAATTTATTTTCGACGGAAGTATTTAATAAATATCATACACTGATATAACCTTTTATATGGTTATAGTTGCTCGAGATTTGAGCATTTGGGGCAAAAAATATTCAAAAATACAAAACAAAAGGTAAATAGGTTAAAATACAAAACAAAAGGTAAATAGGTTTAACTTGCGACCATTCCACTACCAAGCTTACACTTAGCAAATGCTGTTATGCAGAATTTTTACATGCATAGCATCAAAATGAAAGATAAAAAACATTGACAAGGGAAGTAACTCTAAGCAAGGGAAACTTTTTTTCCTTCCGAATCATAACTGGTGCAGTGATACCCTTTACCTTCAAATGTTTCATGTAACAAAAACACATCCAAGAGTCTTACTTTTCATTTCTATATCTTGCTAAGTAATACACAACTGTAACACTTAAACTAATGTATATCTTCACTAGCGTCTAATGTGCTGACAAATACCTCTATCACTTATAAATAAGCAACCATATCTAATATATAAAAAATAATTCTGGTTGATATTGGACAAGTTAAGATTGAAGTTTTTTGTTTTTTAAATCAATAAGAATGTTGCCACTGCATGTTAACGTGAGCCGATTGATGTATGGCACCCTGTAGAATCGGGTCGTTTCTTCCTTGTCCTCTGTTTCGGGGACATTGATGAAACCCCAGCCCCAAGCACCCATATAACCTTACCTGGTACGAGGACGTTAAAAACATACAGACAAACAAACAATAATCAAAGCGGCGGATGTATCTAAAAATATGCATATTAAAGTTCAAGTTAAACGTCTATCTGATCACGAATATGACTTAATCTATTAAAAGAAAGAAGAAAATGTAATACCCTGTCAAGACACAAAGGTAACACCAGTAACTGAGATGAGACCAACATAAATTGAAAGACAACATTAAAAAGATCCTACCTCACTCTACCTTCTTATACTTTCAACTTTGTATTTTAATTACGAATCAATATCCATCAATTTCCGCTAATACCAAATGTATTCATAAAATCTATCAACTATAATTGAACTCATAGAATTATTTCTTCTTCAAATAACACATGTAAATAAAATAACCCCTAGAAATACAAAGTAAGGTACCACTAGTAGGTAAGACGACGACGCCGCTAATATTTTCATCTTAAGCTAAGCAGGTGAAAACATTACAACTTAATGACAGGTATGGCATACATATATCGTTTTTGAACATAAAAGGAATTCAGAAAATATAGCTTAATGAACAAATTTGAGATTCAAAATGGTTTGATAAAGACTGTACACAAATTCCTATGATTGTTCTCATTAGTGAGCATTGCGATTTTGTAGTCACTACCCTAGTTCTCGATGTGATGACGTGACGTTATTTGGGGTTGATCTATATTTACATAGCGGGTATACGTTAACCTTTCCGAGCCCCATGTCTTATTCTCTTTGCATATTTACAAGAATATCCGTGTTAATATGACATGTGTTCACATTTCACCGTAGTTTCATCGATGTTGAGTTCGAAGTATTGTTTTGTTGACACCTCGATATTCTCTTGTTATTGTTGTTGTTTATAATAAATAAAGTCAATGTCTAGAGCTCAATTAATTTAAAAAAAACAACTTAACATTCCAGACAATGTGTAATTTGTCTCTGTTGTAAACGAGATACATTTTCGTGGCTACTGTAATGCACAGTCATCACTGGCATTTTATTGCCTTTGTTAATCGTTTTGCACCACAGCTATCTCTACTTCCTAGATACTGTTCCTCTTAGTTATAACTGACCTTGACCTCCATTTGAATAAAACATTCAAGTATAAATTGTGATAAAAGAGGGAGATATCTTCTATGTTGTCCATTACATCAATATTTCTATCTTGGGCAGCAGTTAACGATGTACGACAGAATTAATAATTAAGAACGGCGCTGGCTGTTCTTTTGCCCTGGAGATGCCAATGATATAAGTAAAATTAACAGTTAGCCAGCATTGGAAAATGTTGTTCTCAACTTGGCTGCAGCTTAAGGTTCCGTTGTCTTACTGTGGTGGCACGCGGGGGATGCGGTGCTTAGTGCTTTTAGTGAGAACTTTAAGAATGTAATTTTATTTAGCTGAATGCCACATTACGCACTCGCATACGAATAGCGAAGGTGGGTTTTTGGGACTTGAAAGAACGTTAACCTGGCTTTTAGTTGTAGTTAGGACTGGTTTGTAAAAACTGCTTAAATAGTTTGTGGTGGAAGGCGAAATGGTATTCTGCAAGTACTTATTGGAATTGGTTTGTAAGTAGTTAAAATCGGTTAGTGGGAATATCTAAATAGGCTTTTTGGGGTGTTTTTTTTTGTATTTTGATCAGGTCTGTATGTGTTGTTTAAACTTGTTTTGTAGGTATTTTGTTCTTGATTGTGAATGAATTGGAAATCAATCACATTAGGCATACATTGGAATTGTTTTTATGTGTAGTCAAGATCGCTTTGTTCATTCAAGGCCGATGGGCTCTGATATATTGAAATATTCAAACTACCTCTTGAAATTAGTTATATGGTAATGGCATTTGGCCTGTAGCTTGCGGTAAGGGTCTATTGAATATGTAACTGAAAAGCTGTTCAAAGCAATAACCTTGCCGATATGCATGGTTACAGAGTCACTTGTGTTGAAGACTTCAAAAAATTTATATCAGGAAATTTAACAATTAGAATATATCTATTTGGCATTCGATTTAATGGGCAAAGCGCTGTCAAATTTCAAATTTGTTCATATAAAGGATGAATCGACATCTCCGCTTAAGAAGCTTATTCATTAGCATTTCAGTTTTATATATATTCGTATTAGATAAAAAGTGAGCAACACATGCCCTTTGAAACGCGTTTTATTTTAATACTTTTGCATAATTAGTGGTGACTAGGTTTGTATGGAACATATATGGTGATTGATAGTTGTTAGTTATCGTGGGCGGTTGACTTCAAATTGTATCAGAATAAGTAGGTGAAGGTTATGAAATTTGGATGTGATCGGTTATGAAGTTTGAGTATGGTTTGTGAATATTAATGGGAGCGATTGAATGCGGTTCCTTAAAATGGTTGGATTTGATTTGTTAGAAAGTTGTGAATTGTTTCTAGAGATATTTCGATACGTGTGAATTATTGGGATAAAAAGGCATAGTTTGTGAGGTAGTTGGTTTTCTTTGACGAAGGGTTGGGTGTGACTGACCGGGATAAGTTGGTGATGTTTGTTGGTATAGTTAGCTATGGTTTCTTGGGTCAATGGAATACGCTTATAGTTTTTAAAATACGGACAATTGATGGATGTTTTTTAGAAGATTGTTTGGTGCTTGATAGCAAGGCATGATGGTGGTATGGTATTCGTATATCAGTATAAAGTTAGCATGTGATGTCATTGCATGTAACTAGAACATTTTATAATAAGACGTATTATATGGTATATGATAATGCAGTGTTATATTATAAGTATTGAGAAATCTCAGTCAGATGTTTTCAAGGTTTGCTCTGACCTATGCATAGCTAAAACACCAGGGTGACATAGAAATTGTAGAAATGTTATGCCTTTTTATTATGTCCTTAACGTTTAGCTATAGAAACACTAATTAACATTTTACATATGTTTCGTATGTGTCTAGGTATGGGTCCATAGTACATCTGGTCCTGCATATAAAATCGATAATCTTATATGCATCGCTTGGATTTAATTGACCAGACTGATGTATGGAATGAGATTAAAAGTAAATTATAAACTAGCAATATTTCAAAATTTTCCCATTTTATTATTCAATTATTTGTGTTCGGAGCTAAACAATTGGGATAAAATAAAATTGCCTGATTTTTTTAAATAAAATACAGTTTAACTTAACTGGAATTTCACACATAATGATGATGTTACTAACCTAGAAGATTCACGTAACTTTCTCTACTGAAGATAAAACACTGATATGTTACTCCGAATTAAATCTTAGGATTCTTCAGGCTATTACCTACACTTTTATTATGACTAATAGCCCGACAAAGTGCAGAGCAACCCTAGAATAATGTCATTAATGAATTATCGTCAATGGCAAATGAAATTGTTACTTTGACCCATATTTTTGAAATCGTCACGATTAACTACAGCTCCTCGTGTCTTAAAACCTTAAAATTCAACAATTGTTCGTTTCAATAATGAAGTGAATATCGTTTGATATTTAAAATCAATTGATCAAAAACACTCTGTCTAAATGATGGGACAATTTGCTGACATCGTTATTTCGAAAATAAATGAAATGCATGTATGTACATACAAATTTGCACTTTTGTTTATACATAAAGGGAAAAAAAATTAGATTGATTATAATAATTCTAGATGAATAAGACGATTCTTGTCTTGGGTTTATGATTAAGTGACTTTCAGATGCACTTTTAGAATAAATGCATTGCATAGCGAAATGATACAATTATTGACAAAACTGTTCAAGTTATAATTGCTTCAATTAAAATGTCCAATTTCTCACAAGACTTTCATAAAACAAATTACTGCAAATAGCGCTGAATAAGTAACGTTTGGAATGAACTTAAGATTAAACAAAGACTGAATCTCTATTTAGCTGTTCAGAGATTATGATTCATCTCTTCACGTTTAGAATACATATAAATTACTAATATATATATAATGCTGATCTTTGTTTGTTGTTTGATTATGAGGTTGCAGCGGTAGGAAAATGATGAAATTTTTGCCTAGTTAAACAATTTATTGAAAAATTGAACAATAGCCTTAGGGAGACTTTAGATGTGCCTTGATACACATATACGTGGACACTGTAAGCACTTCACTTTAACGTACCTACCGATATCAGTAATAGCAGTTTGATGAACTACCATTAACACAAGTGAGGTAAACATAGCACAGAAAAGCAAAGCTAAATTCAATACTGTTAAACTTCGCAAATATTATTTGTAAGTATTTTATTTGCGAAATTAACAATAACGGTTATCGTTTTGTTTTGATATGTCTGAATACATTTTTGTGGGATAAATGAATGAAAAAAACACTCTCCTCGCCAATTTACGCAGTATTGATATTTTGAGAAAATGAGTGATTAATATTTATCACTTACAATAATAAGAAAAAATATTAAAAACACAAATTCATCCATATCCATTTGTGACAAATATTGTAGAGTTGATATTTTTCATTTAGCTATTTGTTTTAAATCCACAGAATGTAGGTAACAGGCCTAGTAGTGTGTTCCTGTTTGGTATCATTCTTAAAGAGATTGTCGCTGCTTTGCACAGAATATACCTAAATGTAAGTATGACTGTTGATTCTTTAAGACTTGCTCTTAGTTAAACAGTTTCCTTCCTGTAAATGAGTCGATGTAGAAATGGCATGTTTGAAGCCGACAATGATTCTAAGCAATTTTCATCGTCTTTTGTGTTGGAATATATCATTTAGATAAGAATAATCGTGAAAAATAACTGATCACCAAACGTATTCTTAAGTCCAATGTTTTTCACTTTCTTTATTTCTTATAAATCCTTTTTTGTGGCTTATTCTCACTGTAATGGTAATATATTCACTTATCACCCACTGTCTAATGTTGTGACCATTTATTGTGAAAGGTCCTTTTCATTCATATTTCATGAGACAGATAGTCTTATCTGTGATATTTCCGACCTACTTTATTACCCATCATATCAGTAATATTTTATTGGAAAATTATTACAAGTTCCGTGAGCAAAAGTGCATACATCATTTGATTTTGTGACCTAATTTCAGCCCAGTGGGAATATATATCCAGTGTTAGCGGACGTGGTGAGTCCCCAGGCTTATGACCTGACGAATCTACTGCGTGACAGGTCTGGGGACAAGGAGACAAATGTAATGCTACAGGAACTTCAGTACGTCGTCGAAAATCTCGTCTATCATATCACCGAAATCATGGTGAGGACTATTCAATGTTTGATGAGCTTGCTCGGGAAAAGCCTAAACAATCTTTACTCCCCTTTGTGATCAATTTAGATTGCATGGTCAGATCGAGAATCATAGATCTCTTTGATGTACATGAATATGTGGCGCAGATAGTGTTTGTCACTGTTAGTGATTATCCCATTCATTGATTAATCATGGCAATATCTTGCATGGCCCTCATTCCGACGTTGATATCACAATTAGAGTTCAAGAAAAACTAGGTTAATATCGTTTAAGGTATTCTGTTTATGTCTTGGCCAGTATTGAAAATCGCTGAAGACTTTGTGATGAAACTTGAGGTACAAAATGTATGTAGTATACATTGATTTCTACATATAGCGTTGACATGACCTTGACTTCATATAAAGCAAAAACGCTGCTTCCAGTTTGCTGCGAAACTATAAAAGTACAATCAGTGCACACGTGTTGTTTCCCATTGGTTTACGAAACCTTACTTCCTTTTTTAAAAGGTTGTCTATATAAATACAAGCTCGCGTGTGTTTCAAAGTCAATTTGACAATAAAGTAGCTTTCTCACTTTCGGTGACGCTTTTAGAGCGGCCATTTTAGTCTAGAATTTAATTAGATACGTTAACATGTTGCCCTCATTTCGAATTAAAGTGTTAGAAAGACTTACGTAAATGTAATGCATTGCTTTTATACATAACAAATTACATGTCAAAAGTACATGGATATTACAGCCCAGCTCTGGGGTACTGGGCACACACAGGAAGTCTGCTGTGTTTGAACTAGTCCGTAATGGCAAGCGCTTCCCTGACGGTTACTTCTGGCAGGCTGAACTGGTAAGATTTGCTTTATTCTAATATTGTTTCCTCTTCCGACTACAGAGAACAGGAAAACCATCTAATGAATTTTGATTTTGTTTTCTGTTATGTTCCGAGGTTTTGCGATTGGCCTTCGAATTTCGATGAAATATATGCTTTCATTTTAAGTATATATTGTAAAATCAAAAGCGCATATTATTTGTATTGAAAAGTTAAGGTTTCACCACAAATGACTGGTTTTAATAGTGGTTATCGAACTCAAATGAAACTCACATTAAATTTTGCAAACCTACCTTTCTGTAGACATCAACTCACTGAATATGTTTTGCTGACGTAATGAATGAATACTTGTTTCTAAAGATACTGAAATAAACAATGTTTGAGTCATTTTTACGCGAAAATAAAGATCATGCGAAATATTACTAATTTACAGTATGTAATTTAACTTGTTTATAAATCTCTCTTTTTGTTTAATAAATACACTAAAGTGAACGACTATGGCAATTTTTACATTACGTATCTTAACCTTGTCTTATTTTCAATATACAATTTGTCAAGAACATCACAGAAATATAAGTATTAGTTTCAGGATTATTTTCATGACAGGTTTTTGTCGCGACAAGATTACCGTTGTGATGGTTACGATAGTTAAGAAGATGCAGTGGATTGATATCGTATATGAATGTGTTTGACAAAATAACTCTCGAAACCGCTAAGCAACTCTAAGCGTATCAGTATACTTCTATATTAACTCGAAAATAACACTTTTCCAAACTTAAACTATAGCATAGCAGGCCCCGTCTGCTCAAAGTTTGATAGAGTTAACCAGTGGTTAGGGGAATTTTTTAAATTTGAATACATCAAAATCAAGAACACCTGACATCATTTCACTATTTTGTTTAGACAGATCAGATTGATCTGGTTTGAGGACTCATTTCGCTTTGAAAACCCCTTTTATCAAGTGGCGAAAATCTGCATGTTTACTAACCACTGGTTAAAGTTAACTAACCTTTGAGGAACCAGGGCATGTTTGCATTGAATTTTTTTTTGTAGAAGTAGGAAAAAGTGTTATCAGACGACAATTTAATCAAAATGTGATAATGTAAGTGTCAATTCTGCTAATAGGACAGATTGCAGTTTACTGATAACGGGAGGACAACGAATATTGGTGATGCGGAGGCCTTCCTTCTCATCGTAGGAATCTTTATCTCCAGGAGTCTTGTAACAACTGTAAGTTTGTAAAGTGTAGGGCAGGGCGCCGTACGAAGTTGATGACTGAAAGTTGTATGTTTTTAAATTATTGCTAGTTTGACTCCCTATAATACATGTATATGTATTCATTAAATCATAATGAGGGGGAGGAGTTTGGTTGAGTAAAATGTCATCGTTAATTTACATTGATAACCTCCTAACCTAACTAAGACGATACGAAAAAAACACATTTGCTCACGAAAGGAGGATGCACAAAACAAACATTAAATGGTACCACTGCATCTGGGTTTTTTGCTTGGAGTATTCTTCCTTTTATATAGGAGATAAAATAACCAAAAGGAGATTTTCTGACTTAGAGTTACTTCGAATTACCATGTGAAGTTTTTATTTTGCTCTGTGGCCCATACATTGGAATTTATTTTGATGTTGTTCCTTCATGTTTCCTGTATGGTCACATGGTTTAAGTGTAGACGTTGCAATGTGAAGATTCCGAGCTCGACCACTGCAGTTTTCGTTTGTATACGCCTGTCAAATTTGATGGAAGTATTATGGTATGGGGTTGTCCGGCCGGCCGGCAATCCCTCCTACATTTTTCAACGGATCTCTTAGAAACTTGTTATACATTATAATCATGATATGAAGTTGTGTCTCCCTTAAAAGAATTTTGATTCGACAATTTTTCCAAAAGTTATTGCCCTTTGTTCATTTTAGTATATGATTTTTTTTTGTCCGGAGATGATCTCCTACATTTTTTTATAGCATGTCAGCTAACCACTATTAGAATGATGCAGATCTTATTCCAATGTAAGAAAGTATATAACACTATATGGCATTCGATTGGCGTATATTGTTCCGCCCCGCGCTACTCTTGTTTAATATTTTTTTCGGTTTCAAATTTCTAAGACTACAATTTTGTAAAATGCATGGAAACATGCCATTTTTATGGAATATTATTTCTTTTGAAGAGGACGTAGAAGAATATTTCACACAAGTGAATATCGACAATAGTGTCGAAGGTACCGATTCCCCTATGGCTACAGACGAGACAAATATGCACTTTACTGAAAAATGGCCTGTTTGTGGAATCGCTTCTGATTCATTACAGTATATGGTAAATAAGAGACTATACAAATCGAGGAATCTATTGAAATGAGAAATAAACTTGTAGGGCTTTAAACGTATTTTGCTGACGTCATTCATATTACTTTGGAATCTTGTGGTTTCTTCACTATCGAAAACTTGTACTTTCTGATTGAAATATGATTCTAGAAATTGGTTCTCTCAGACATAAATCATTTATTTCCAAAATGAGTTACACCTTCTGGGTCTTCGTAATCAATTTTATGGAAAGAAATGATTAAAAGAACACTTAAATACGTTTGCCTTCGTGACATTGCAATTAATAAATTTAAAGAGAATACTTTTGAAAGATCCCAATCTAAAATTTAAAAAACATGACAGATATCTAGCCTATTTACCACGTGCGTTCTTCAAACCCATGCATTCAAATGATGATTGATACTATAAATTTCAAATAAAGTGACCTCATTAATTAACAAATTAGCTAGACATATGACATAATTTCAATCTGTGAATTTCAAGAATGATAAAAAATGCGTGCAGTGTAAGGTTCTACTTTACGAGTGCTACCTTGGATAGTTGTCATTGTTTAAAACAAAAAAAAGTCAACCTCACAATAAAATGTAATATTTCATATGAATTGATGACGTCATCTGACTATTCTACCTCGGCTCAAAGAGTAAAAGGTAAAAATATATTCCATATCGTTTTGGCATTATTTTGTTATTGGAAAGCAGTTTTCAGTGTGAAAGACGTTATGAAATTACGATAGATATCACGTTTCAACTAACATAATCCAACGTAATAAATAAAATTCTTATTCTCAGCGTGAGACAGTTGTCAAGCTATAACTGTAGATGAACAACTCTCACCCGACGTGCTAATTTATTTCTCTGTCCATTCTATTAACTACGGGCGACTTTGTGTTTTAATAAATCTATCCAGAAAGACTCTCAATCCGTGAACTAATCGAAAACTTATTTATCCATTACGTGGTGGAAATTCAAATAAATCAAAACTTGTAAAAATTTGAGTTTGTAGTTCATCTCAAACTTAAACAAATATAATCTCGCATAAAATAAATTTTAACAGTAAGTAGTATTTTTTATATAAAGGATCCCAAAAGTGTTTCCGTTACATGTGTTTATCATTGAACAAGTTACAGCGGCAGAACGAGAATAATTTTGATATTCTTTTTCACGTGAAAGACGGGGGTAAACGAAAGAAAGTCACCTTAATTCTGCCTTAGTTTTACGTGTCAAAATGTATATGTATGTTGCATTGCATAAAAAAGTCAGTAAATGATAAAACTACTTCCTTCCAGTTGCTGATGAAGCCAGTTGACTACGGTTTGTCATCACAACCTCTGACAGACGTAGGCGAAAGGAACCTGAAAATTCTTGCCACTACCATGTTATACTTAGTTAGACGGGTCTCAACGTTGCGCGGCAAAACCATGCTGGTACGTCCTTGTATTATGATCTTACTCTATAAGCCTTATCTTCAAGTCATAAAACAGCAAAAGGCTCCTGACAAGTCACAAAAATAAGTATTCGAGTTTTATTAACATTTCAGTCAAAATACTTGTCAAAGATAAATTACAGTAATCTAATGCCCATCGTCATCAGGTGCGGAAATCTTATATGCTATTCACGCGCCATATTTTTAAAGATTTCATCCATTGTTTATGCAAATATTCTTATTACAATGGATATTTACAGTTTTTATTTAGTAATCTTATACAGCTATAGTTAAAATATCTTAACTTCATGTCACACATTTTATTGATTATGTTCAGAAGGTTGTTTGTTACGTCTGCATCTTTCTCCCCTCTATCTTGACTCGTAGCATTGCTTTGTTTTAGCCTTTCTATCCTCACCGTTGACTCGTAGCATTGCTTTGTTTTAGCCTTTCTATCCTCACTGTTGACTCGTAGCATTGCTTTGTTTAAGCCTTTCTATCCTCACGGTTTACGCGGACATCTGTTCTGTTAAATCTCGTCTCTTTCTATGCTAACCCATCGTTCTCGTCTTTGTGTTGACGCGTACACTCGTCATGTTAAATCTCTTTCCTTTATTCGTGTGGACTCGTATCAATGTTAAATTTCGCGTATTGCTTCTATTCCATTCTATTCTATTCGCCTCTATTTCGACACGGGTTTTTTGTTATGTTTTAGCCTTTCTCTGGTCTTTACTGACACTTTTTTTTGTTTTGTTGCAGCCGCCGCCAGGGGAAATATCCAAATACTTGTACACTGATGAAGAAATGCGACCAATATTTAGTAAATTAGGTCGATCGTTTAATTATTCGGAGGTGAGTGGCCCTCTCTATTCTTAGTCAACCAATCTAGTGTTAAGTGAAATAAAAAGAAAATGAGATTTACTTGTATTTTTATTAAAGACAAAAAAGCAAACAAGGAAAAAGGAACGAAACACAATGAGTATGAACCAATCGACGGCCAGATTTTACTTTGTTTTAGTTTCTGATTCGTGTTTGGGGGTGCAGAGCATTAATATAATGTCTGAGAGACTCATATGTCAAATATGACCATCCCGTTATTGTCACACATATAGCACACTTACTTCTCTGACACACACACGACTATATTATACAATAAAGAAAAATAAGAGTTCACCATGCCTGATAATGTCGTAACTCAAAGATCATGGTTAGGTTATGCGTATGGTAGTACAAGACTAGAAGATGGTTTTCTGTAAAGTAGAAGGTTTTCGTTTCTGTCTCTTCCACAGAGTAGGGCACTTTGAATGAACCAAAATAGATTTGCTGAGCCAACTGTTGGGTTCTTGATGCGTTAAAAAAAGCATAAAAAGGCTTTTTATAATGATGAGCCAATCAGATATTATTTTATATCAGAAATGGGACATTTTGCTTTTATTCTATTGCTAGGAGAGAGGGTTGTTATGGACGCTTTATCATACTCTCTGACAGAACAAAAATCTCGTTTCTGTAGTTAGTAAAGGTATCTGTTGTCTTTAGATGTCATCATTAAGTATGTGTTTATCCAATACAGAAAAAAGAAATCATTGTCGAGATTGTCACTCATCTGCAGACTGGTCTGCAAAAACGCTTCAGTTATATGAAGTTCTTTGCAAACCCGCTTGCATTTAGTGATTGTTTTGTAAGAAAATAAATGAAGATCATGATTAAAATTTATTCATTTACGCAAGTAAAAGCAGCCTTCAAATATCTGATTTTCATTTAATCTTCAGTTAAAATCGGAAGGACGTTCTTGTCGTTTTTGTTAAGGTAGAATGTCTTACTTTGTAATCATTGGATACAGACCGTAATAGAGTCAGAAATTGATTGCAGACAGTCCTGAATAATCCTGTTTTTTACAGTCTTAATGACTTAAAAGTTGACTGTAGAGAACGAATTGAAACATTGAATTAATTTGTTTTTCTTGACATTTTGGCAATTATGACGTAAAAGATTTTAAACAGTCAATTTAGTATTACGAATTTAGAAGAGTGCTGTTAAAGACAAATGGATGAGATCTGGTTTAATTCGTCTCTGTGAGCGTCAACCATGGGACTGAACGATGGCGCTTAACTCATCAAAAACCTTCAATTCCAATCTGGAGGAACACCTAAAACAACTCGATTTTAACGGCCGTGTCTACACTAATACCAAGAAACAACACCGAGTAATCATTTTCTGACACAATTGTAGTTTTATTCAAAAGCAGTTTGTTGATGAACTGATTTCATTCTTTGTTTGCTTTAGAACGGGTGTCAATTTCAATGCATCTCAAATTTTATTTGAACCAGCGATGTTGAATCTCAATCGACGTTTGTAAATTGAGACCTCACCTCAAGGAAATAGTGATGGAGTATTTTAATCATGGACCCTAGACTGGACACTTCATCTAACCCCCAATATACTTTACACTGTCTAACATGTTATGATATAAGTAAGCACTAGAGTATTTGGATTTCCAATATTTTTGGCCCCTTAGCATCACCGTTGATTCCTAGAAGGAAAAAAACAAGCTGAATGATGCAGTTTAATTTATTTTTGGCAAACTGTATCAATTACCTTGTCAATTACCTAATTTTGGCAAGGTGCAATCCTCTGTGTGAGTGAGGGTGAGGGTGTGTGTGAGTGTGTGTGTGAGGGTGCGTGTGTGTGTATGTGTATTATGTTCATCTATCTTAATAGAAATTTTGATTGAACAATGTTTAATATTGTCCCTGTTGTAATTTTATTTTAATTTCATACCTTTCTTTCTGCCTGTAATTTGATACGGACAGAAGATATAGATCTATATGAATATCCCACATGTCATTTTTTTCTGTTTAAGGACATCAAATATTATTTTTTGTTAAAATCGCTCACATAAGGTTCAGTCTCGGTCAATCAACATTTTCTTCATAATAACCTCAGTCGTTTGAGCTTTTCCACATATATATTAACCTATTAAGTCCGCTTCGTATTTATCTGTCAACTAAGGATTTCTTCTTATAAACTTATGTCAAATGGGGTTGATTGCATACGCTGTATAAACCTCAGTTAAATAAGGTTTTCTTGATTTTAATCTGTCATTTAAATATTTCCTCGTATTGAGTTCAGTCAGTTGGTGTTTTTGCATCGTATTAACCTCAACCAATTAGTGTAATTTTCATATCTTCATCCGTTTGATATGTTAGTCGTACCAACCACTGTCGGTTCATTTTCTTTGTTTTTATCAAGATAGATATCTAGCTTCTATTTAATGGCGTTGAGTTGTAGTCCGTAATTAATCAATAAAATAATTGATCAATTGATCAATTTATTAGCAAATAAGTTAATTAGACAATCAATTGATTCATATTTAATTCAATATTTCTCTTCAACAGGGTCTACTTAGAGAATGGGGACAGGAGTATATTACAAGAATAAGGGCCGCTCCTATATCTACAAAGAACTAACGGAAGCATGGATTGGTAAAAGACTCAAAACTGGCAAGAACCATACATGAGGCGACCAAATTAGGTATAATGACAGGGAGTCATACTTTAGGACTGAAAATTAATTCTAGTAACAGAGAGCCATACAGGAGGCACCCAAATAAGTTCTAGTGACAGAGTCATACTCGAGGCGTGCAAATTAATTTAAGTGACAGACAGCCATACACGAGGCGTCAAAATGAATTATAGTTGAACAGACCCATGCACAGGGCTTTTAGAAATAATTCAAGTGATGTAGACTCAAACACAAGACGTCAAAATTAGTTCTAGCGACAGAGACCCATACTCGAGGCGTTCAAATTAGTTTTAGTAACAGAGAGACATACTCGAAGTGTCCAAATTAGTTCTAATGACAATGAGCCATACACAAGGCGTCCAAAATAATTCTAATGACAAAGAGTCATACACGAGACGTCCAAATTAGTTCTAATGTCAAAGAGCCATACACGATGCGTCCAAATTAGTTCTAATGACAAAGAGCCATACTCGAGGCGTCCAAAATAATTCTAATGACAAAGAGTCATACACGAGGCGTCCAAATTAGTTCTAATGTCTAATGTCAAAGAGCCATACAAGAGGCGTCCAAATTAGTTCTAATGACAAAGAGCCATACACGAGACGTCCAAATTAGTTCTAATGTCAAAGAGCCATACACGATGCGTCCAAATTAGTTCTAATGACAAAGAGCCATACTCGAGGCGTCCAAAATAATTCTAATGACAAAGAGTCATACACGAGGCGTCTAAATTAGTTCTAATGTCTAATGTCAAAGAGCCATACACGAGGCGTCCAAATTAGTTCTAATGACAAAGAGCCATCCTCGAGGCGTGCAAATAAGTTCTAATGACAAAGAGTCATAATCGAGGCGTGCAATTTAATTTGAGTGGGAGAGCCATGATGGAGACGTCCAGATGTTTCTCAACATTTTCTTGAGGTTGGTAAATATGCCCACGCCTCGTGTATGGCTCTTTGTCATTAGAACATCATATATCCAATGATGGATAAGTAATGTGGTCAGGACAGCTTATAGTAGTTTGGGGTTTGGGTTGTAACGGAGATGTACCTTGGTAATGACATACAAGTATTGGCATTAGTCATGATATTGTAAGTAGCAACTGTTGAACTATTTATGTATTTATTTTTTATTTAATTGTTTATGGATATGGTTTATGGAACTGTAACAAAAAGGATCAAAACGAATTATTAAAATCGTTGCATGATTCACAATCATAAATTTCTTTTCTATGATTATGTCGGCGCATTTATATTTCCTTTTAATAATTGATAGAGAGTGTTCAATTACCCATAAATTGACAACTCAAATGACTCTATCTGTGATTACGAAATAAATGAACATGACCTCTGTAGATTTAGATAATTGCCAATTGTGAGGGGAAGACGTATGTTTTGCCAATATGACGGGGACCAAAAAGGAGTCTTGACAATTTGTGATCTTTAAGATAAACATTATTTTGAGGCGAATGTAGCCATCTTTTGTCTGGAGAGTCGACACTGACGAAGACAAAGACTTCCATATATGTCAATAGACTAACTAGCATTTGAGTGATCGTGGCGTCGCGCGACATTGTCCTTCAACCCAGCAACAGCGCTTGACCTTCTAAGTGGACAAGTTGCTGCAGTAGGCTTGTAAGATTTCATTATTCGTGTCGGCGTAATCCCCACAGGGCCCAAGAGTGATATTTAGCAGAAGGACGTTGTGTCCTCCGATCTTACGTTAATTGATACACACGAGCTGTGTACGGAAGTGATAATGGACGCCCGGTGTCGGTCGTGAAGGGTACGTTTGACAGCTCCAGGTAGCTTGATGTAGGAGACGACCCACTCGGTTACATCCCAGTCCTTTTATGGACCTTTCCCACCGGGACAGGACCTAGACGAGGAAGGTACAAATTGTGATTTATCTTACAATGTTTGTTGGAATTATCCATCAATGGCGACGTCTGTCCGGACATAATGTTTTCTCACTTCCACACACCGGTTTTTGATGCTGACAAGCGTGGCTTGTTAGAGGCCGATTGTTTTATAGCTTATATACGAGCGCATGATGCGTTTTAATTCTTCCTGAATAAAGATGGTCTCCCTTGAATATAAAATAGGGTAATGATATGTACTGTACGTCTTGTTGGCTACTCCTGCAGATATTAATGTTTTTCAAAGTTTAAATGTCATTAATTTGAAAATATACATATTTATTAATCGTCTGTGATATAATTTCAACGGTAAAAATTATTTATCTGCCAAATTTAATTTAATTATGATACCTTTTTATACATTTAAGATTGGTATATACATATTTCAAAACACATGTATTTACTTTATTTATTTTATTTATTCTAACAACGATGTTATATAGTTTGCTACTGGAGCAAAAACATTTGAATTTTCATCGATAACGAACTTCACTAAAACAGTATCATGTCATTTTTGCAACTAAACATAATTAAACGTAATAAAAATTAATCCATAAAAAATATGAACAGTTTTGAATTCAAATGTTGAACTAAAAAAATGTATAAATAGTTATATCAGTTAAATGGATATTACATAAATGTAACGCACATTTTAATGTTAGATATTCTTCTTTTTTTTCCAAATTTCAAGTTCAACGTATAATTTGGTTCTTCCAAAACGAGAAATACAATATTTGAAGGTTGAAAAAAATGAAAAAAAAAATGACGGAAAAATACGATAAGTAATGTTGATTCTTGATCAATAAAACTAAAAGATCTATTAAAATCTCTTCCTATTTTTATAGATTTCATGTGTTTTACAGATTAACAGTTTTTTTAGACCATTTTTTATTATGGAACCGTTCAAAAACGCAAATTAGACGGGTTCCTTTTGTGGTAGGAATTCCAACAAATTAAATGATACACAAAGAGTTTTCAATGTATACAGAAACACCAACGTGTCCGGATCAAAGTGTTTATACCGTACATGTGACCGGATTAACGAAAGTCTTCTGAACATGTGACCGGATTAACGAAAGTCTTCTGTACATGTGACCGGATTAACGAAAGTCTTCTGTACATGTGACCGAATTATCGAAATTCGATTGTAGATGAACATATGTCCGGATTAACGGGTTCTAATTGTACAGATGTTCGGGTTAACGAGTTCTTACTGTACAGATGTCTTTAACGAGTTCTGACGTAACAGGTGTCCGGGTTAACGTGTTCTTATTTTCAATATGTCCGGATTAACGAGTTCTTACCGTACTTATATCCGGGTTAACGTGTTCCCACTGTACATGTGTCATTAACGAGTTCTTACTTTACAGATGTCATTAACGAGTTCTGACTTTACAGGTGTCCGGGTTAATGTGTTCTTATTGTACATATGTCTGGATTAACGAGTCTTACTGTACATATTTCAGGATTAGGGAGTTCTTATTGTAAACACGAGTTCCTACTGTACATGAGTCCGGATTAACGGAACTATACCATACATGTACATTTGATCGGATTAACGTGTTTTACTGTACAGGTTTCCGGATTAACACGTTTCTACTGTACATGTATCCGGATTAATACGTTTCTATGTACATATGTCCAGATTAACACGTTTCTACTGTAGAACATATTTTCATTATAAAGCTACCTGATGTCTATTTTTGTACTCTTAAATATTGTGATTTTTCCGTTGATTTATTTTGGGTAATAATGTGATCGCGATAACTATAACTATTGTCATTATTTTAAAAAAAATATTATTTTCCTTCGAATATTGTTCGTTCTAGTACCTTCTGTTAAGTTTGTAGTTCTTTTGTAGAATAAAATTCCGATAAATAGTATTGTCCTTCACGGGAAATTATTTGAAATGTCATTAAATATGGTATTATGATTTGACAAGTTTGTTAAAATATCTTAACGTTTGATGTATCAACATAAGGTTTAAGGTAAAGGGACTAGCAAGTTCAACTCAAATAATACCATTGTCACCACTGTGGTATATTTGTTTAATCCCCTTTTAAATAAAGTGTTCCATAAAACTCACCTATTGCCATGCATTTTACGAAATTTCAGCTGTTTGAAATTTGAATGCTTTAAAATAGAAATAAAAAGTGAGCACAAAATAAGGAGGGGTCGAACCCAGGAACTTTACATTACAAAACCCTACGCTTTATCAACTTTTCCATTTAGGAATTTCAACTAAGATTGATCAAAATTAGTGTCCAATTTGTGGGCTCCAAAGTCAATGAAAAACTTGAAAAGGGAAGTAACTCTAAACCAGAAAATTCCTTATCGGTTGCTCCATGTTCTATATAGAAGGGAGAATACTCTTAAGTTATAAATAAATTCGAGTGGAACTCTTCTTGGTGATTATAACTAATACTGTGCTACCCTTTAACTTAAATTATCCTTAATTTTTAAAGACGCCAAATATGAATGGCTGAGTCCTTGTTGATCGAAATGCTGGTAGTTTAATTTGACATTAGTTGAACATTTTAGTCTCGAATATTTCATTATTATTGAAATATATATCAAAATCTGTTTTTTTTTGTCAGAATGATTGATTATCGTCTTACGATAAAACAACCATTTGATAGTCACTTTCAGATGGTTATGATGTGATTAATTTCAATTAATTTTAGTTATAAAATTTTAGTGTACGGCTCGTTTATTTGACATTCATCTGGGCCAAACGATTCTGTGATAATACTTTTTTGTATAACAATTCTTGAGAGGTCGTTTTTGTCGTTTAATTACAATGTATTACTAATCAAACAACATACCTGTGATAAATTGGAAAACATTAAAAGATGAAAATGCAATGTGATTTAATTTTATTTTTAAATAAAATACATGTGTATACATGTATGCATATTTGTGGTGATTATCATCCTGATGCGCCTTGCATAATGTTTTCATTATGGTTTCTTTCTTTCTTTGTGATGACATTTTGGTTCCTGTTTCAGTATCTTTTTTGTAGTTTTCGTTCTCGCGGCGTTGACGCTGTTGGTATATGTAATTTTATAATGATTTAACGGTATTTTAGTAATAGAAAGATGCTCATTATAACCAGGTGGTAGTCCTAGATAAGTGGTAGTTATAGACATGTGGTAGTTATAGACAGGTGGTAGTTATAGACAGGTGGTTGTTATAGATATGTGGTAGTTATATACAGGTGGTTGGTATAGATATGTGGTAGTTATATACTGGTGGTAGTTATAGACATGTGATAGTTATAGACATGTGATAGTTATAGACTGGTGGTAGTTATAGACAGGTGGTAGTCCTTGATAAGTGGTAGTTATATACTGGTGGTAGTTAAAGACAAGTGGTAGTTATAGACAGGTGGTAGTTGTAGACAGGTAGTAGTTATAGATATGTAATAGTTATAGACAGGTGGTTGTTATAGATATGACATAGTTATAGACTGGTGGTAGTTATAGACATGTGGTAGTTATAGACATGTGATAGTTATAGACAGGTGGTAGTTATAGACAGGTGGTAGTTGTAGATAGGTGGTAGTTATAGATATGTTATAGTTATAGACAGGTGGTTGTTATAGATATGTGATAGTTATAGACAGGTGTTAGTTATAGACAGTTAGAATTTATATACTGGTGGTAGTTATAGACATGTGGTTGTTATAGACAGGTGGTAGTTATATCAGAGTAGTTATAGATATGTGATAGTTATAGACAGGTGGTTGGTATATACAGGTAGTAGTTATAGATATGTGATAGTTATAGACAGGTAGTAGTTATAGACATGTGATAGTTATAGACAGGTGGTAGTTATAGATATGTAATAGTTATAGACAGGTGGTTGTTATAGATATGACATAGTTATAGACTTGTGGTAGTTATAGACATGTGGTAGTTATAGACATGTGATAGTTATAGACAGGTTGTAGTTATAGACAGGTGGTAGTTATAGATATGTTATATTTATAGAGAGGTTGTTGTTATAGATATGTGATAGTTATAGACAGGTGGTAGTTATAGACAGGTGGTAGTTATAGATAGGAGGTAGTTATAGATATGTTATAGTTATAGACAGGTGGTTGTTATCGATATGTGATAGTTATAGACAGGTGTTAGTTATAGACAGTTAGAATTTATATACTGGTGGTAGTTATGGACATGTGGTTGTTATAGACAGGTGGTAGTTATATCAGAGTAGTTATAGATATGTGATAGTTATAGACAGGTAGTAGTTATAGACATGTGATAGTTATAGACAGGTGGTAGTTATAGATATGTAATAGTTATAGACAGGTGGTTGTTATAGATATGACATAGTTATAGACTTGTGGTAGTTATAGACATGTGGTAGTTATAGACATGTGATAGTTATAGACAGGTTGTAGTTATAGACAGGTGGTAGTTATAGATATGTTATAGTTATAGAGAGGTTGTTGTTATAGATATGTGATAGTTATAGACAGGTGGTAGTTATAGATATGTAATAGTTATAGACAGGTGGTTGTTATAGATATGTGATAGTTATAGACAGGTAGAAGTTATATACTGGTGGTTTTATAGACATGTGCTTGTTATAGACGGGTGGTAGTTATAGACATGGGGTTGTTATAGACAGGTGGTAGTTATAGACAGGTAGAAGTTATATACTGGTGGTAGTTATAGACAAGTAGAAGTTATAGACAGGTAGTAGTTATAGACATGTGGTAGTTATAGATATGTGATAGTTAAAGGCATGTGGTTGTTATATACATGTGGTAGTTATAGACAGGTGGTAGTTATAGACAGGTAGAAGTTATAGACTGGGGGTAGTTATAGACATGTGGTTGTTATAGACAGGTGATAGTTATATACAGGTAGTAGTTATAGATATGTGATAGTTATAGACAGGTGGTAGTTATAGACATGTGATAGTTATAGACAGGTGGTAGTTATAAACATGTGGTTGTTATAGACAGGTGATAGTTGTAGACATGTGGTTGTTATAGACAGGTAGAAGTTATATACTGGTGGTAGTTATAGACAAGTAGAAGTTATAGACAGGTAGTAGTTATAGACATGTGGTAGTTATAGATATGTGATAGTTAAAGACATGTGGTTGTTATAGACATGTGGTAGTTATAGACAGGTGGTAGTTATAGACAGGTAGAAGTTATATACTGGTGGTAGTTATAGACAAGTAGAAGTTATAGACAGGTAGTAGTTATAGACATGTGGTAGTTATAGATATGTGATAGTTAAAGACATGTGGTTGTTATAGACATGTGGTAGTTATAGACAGGTGGTAGTTATAGACAGGTAGAAGTTATAGACTGGTGGTAGTTATAGACATGTGGTTGTTATAGACAGGTGATAGTTATATACAGGTAGTAGTTATAGATATGTGATAGTTATAGACAGGTAGTAGTTATAGACATGTGATAGTTATAGACAGGTGGTAGTTATAAACATGTGGTTGTTATAGACAGGTGATAGTTGTAGACATGTGGTTGTTATAGACAGGTAGAAGTTATATACTGGTGGTAGTTATAGACAAGTAGAAGTTATAGACAGGTAGTAGTTATAGACATGTGGTAGTTATAGATATGTGATAGTTAAAGACATGTGGTTGTTATAGACATGTGGTAGTTATAGACAGGTGGTAGTTATAGACAGGTAGAAGTTATATACTGGTGGTAGTTATAGACAAGTAGAAGTTATAGACAGGTAGTAGTTATAGACATGTGGTAGTTATAGATATGTGATAGTTAAAGACATGTGGTTGTTATAGACATGTGGTAGTTATAGACAGGTGGTAGTTATAGACAGGTAGAAGTTATATACTGGTGGTAGTTATAGACAAGTAGAAGTTATAGACAGGTAGTAGTTATAGACATGTGGTAGTTATAGATATGTGATAGTTAAAGACATGTGGTTGTTATAGACATGTGGTAGTTATAGACAGGTGGTAGTTATAGACAGGTAGAAGTTATAGACTGGTGGTAGTTATAGACATGTGGTTGTTATAGACAGGTGATAGTTATATACAGGTAGTAGTTATAGATATGTGATAGTTATAGACAGGTAGTAGTTATAGACATGTGATAGTTATAGACAGGTGGTAGTTATAGACATGTGGTTGTTATAGACAGGTGATAGTTGTAGACATGTGGTTGTTATAGACAGGTAGTTGTTATAGACATGTGATTGTTATAGATATTTGATAGTTATAGACAGGTAGTAGTTATAGACATGTGATAGTTATAGACAGGTAGTAGTAATAGATATGTCATAGTTATAGACAGGTGGTAGATATAGACAAGTGATAGTTATAGACAGGTAGAAGTTATAGACAGGTGGTAGTTATAGACATGTGGTAGTTATAGACATGTGGTAGTTATAGACAGGTAGAAGTTATATACTGGTGGTAGTTATAGACAAGTAGAAGTTATAGACAGGTAGTAGTTATAGACATGTGGTAGTTATAGATATGTGATAGTTAAAGACATGTGGTTGTTATAGACATGTGGTAGTTATAGACAGGTGGTAGTTATAGACAGGTAGAAGTTATATACTGGTGGTAGTTATAGACAAGTAGAAGTTATAGACAGGTAGTAGTTATAGACATGTGGTAGTTATAGATATGTGATAGTTAAAGACATGTGGTTGTTATAGACATGTGGTAGTTATAGACAGGTGGTAGTTATAGACAGGTAGAAGTTATAGACTGGTGGTAGTTATAGACATGTGGTTGTTATAGACAGGTGATAGTTATATACAGGTAGTAGTTATAGATATGTGATAGTTATAGACAGGTAGTAGTTATAGACATGTGATAGTTATAGACAGGTGGTAGTTATAGACATGTGGTTGTTATAGACAGGTGATAGTTGTAGACATGTGGTTGTTATAGACAGGTAGTTGTTATAGACATGTGATTGTTATAGATATTTGATAGTTATAGACAGGTAGTAGTTATAGACATGTGATAGTTATAGACAGGTAGTAGTAATAGATATGTCATAGTTATAGACAGGTGGTAGATATAGACAAGTGATAGTTATAGACAGGTAGAAGTTATAGACAGGTGGTAGTTATAGACATGTGGTTGTTATAGACATGTGGTAGTTATAGACAGGTAGAAGTTATATACTGGTGGTAGTTATAGACAGGTGGTAGTTATAGACAGGTAGAAGTTATAGACTGGTGGTAGTTATAGACATGTGGTTGTTATAGACAGGTGGTAGTTATAGACAGGTAGAAGTTATATACTGGTAGTAGTTATAGACAGGTGGTAGTTATTGACAAGTAGAAGTTATAGACAGGTGATAGTGATAGACATGTGGTAGTTATAGACATGTGGTTGTTATAGACAGGTGGTAGTTATATACAGGTAGTAGTTATAGATATGTGATAGTTATATACATGTGGTTGTTATAGACAGGTGGTTGTTATAGATATGTCATAGTTATAGACAGGTAGCAGTGATAGACATGTGATAGTTATAGACAGGTAGAAGTTATATACTGGTGGTAGTTATAGACAGGTAGAAGTTATAGACTGGTGGTAGTTATAGACATGTGGTTGTTATAGACAGGTGGTAGTTATAGACAGGTAGAAGTTATATACTGGTAGTAGTTATAGACAGGTGGTAGTTATTGACAAGTAGAAGTTATAGACAGGTGATAGTGATAGACATGTGGTAGTTATAGACATGTGGTTGTTATAGACAGGTGGTAGTTATATACAGGTAGTAGTTATAGATATGTGATAGTTATATACATGTGGTTGTTATAGACAGGTGGTTGTTATAGATATGTCATAGTTATAGACAGGTAGCAGTGATAGACATGTGATAGTTATAG